AAAAAAAAAAAAAAAAAAAATGTAAAAACTATTCTTAGCCCACAGGCCACACAAAAATCAGCATTGGGCTGGATGCCCAGTGCTGGGGTTATGGTTTGCAGACCTCAGTGAAGCTAAAGTGCCCAGATTACATGCAGTATTTAGAGTGCAGAATTCCTGTGAAATCTCACATTTCACACCTTCCATGTCTTGTGAGAGTAGCTAGTTAGCTCCCCTAGCCTTTGCTTCTTTATGTATAAAATGGTGCTGCTTAACAACCTATGTATCTCTTCAAGGATGATGAAAACCAGTGGGTGCAGTTCAGGACCTCCTTTAATTACCATAAATATTGGACTAAATGGTTTAAACCCCATTAAATAAGAACAGTTATGTTACTAACCCATTAGGGAATTCATCCTCAGGCTCTGAAAAGAGAGGTGAATCATCAAATCATTTAAGTAGTTGGAAGTTAAAAACTACTTCAGGATGTATTTATGACTATCCTTTTTGTAAAGCTGTTTATATAACCCAATGTTTTGTGAAGGAAAGTAGGCAAAAGACACAGGTGCTTGACACCTAAGAGGCTCTCCTGGCAGATGGCTTGAGGTGCAGACCGGCTGGTCTTGGAAGGGATCATGAAGCACATTGTATTTTTCAACTGCTGAATGAGAAGTGATGCCTGCATGACCAACCTGACTCCACAAATAAAACACATTTCAATTCCAAGACAGAGCCTTTTAAGAGTGAGTATACATATTTGTGGCAAGAATATGGGCCTACAGTACTTCTGGCAATAAAGGAAGAAGCATTTACAAGTCTTCTAGCTTCTTCTATTAGGATGAATAATTGTGAAGGAGAAAGGCTTAGCTCCTAATAGTAAGGCTACCCTTGTGGACCTATTTTTTAAGTTAGTTAAGCAACCCATAAAAGTTGTGATTTCCGAAGTCCCTACTGTTTATTCATACAGGAAAGTGCAGAAAAGGACTCCCACTGGGGCAGAGTATGAAGGGTGAGAACCCGCCACAGCCCCATAAGAGAAAAGTTAGAAAGTGTTGAAAAAAAAAAACACACACACAATTCAATGGAGTGAAGTTGAAGATCTAACTGTCTAACTGGCTTTATTAAACAATTTATGAATCAGGCAGCTCCCATCTAGCAAGTAGAGGGGAGCTCCACTAAGCTGCAGAGAGGAGAGGTTTTTAAAGGCAGAAAGAGGACATTTAAAAAAAGGAATGCATTGTTTAGGCAAGACTGCCCTCCTGGGGCAGGGGGAGAGGAGGAGCTCTCAAGGGACAAGATCCTAGTGCTGACCAGGAAATGCCAGTTTGGCTGGCTAAAGCTTACATTCCTGAGGGGGTTAAAACTGCAGTTAGACTGGGTATTAAATCTTGGTTTACTGATGTGGAGCCTTAACTTAAATCACTCCATTTTGGGCCTGTGGTTTCCTTTTTAACAGGAGTGCCTAGAAGAAGTATTGCCCTCCCACAAATGAGGCAAAATCCTAGAAGAACTTGGTGTGACCATTCACTGGGCCCTTTCCTCTCCCGGAAGATGGCCCTGGGACCTTGTGGTTGAAAAGTAACAGTAAATCCTCCAAAGAGAAGCATCACAAACCAGGACCCAAGTAACCACCCCCCACCACCACCATCACTAAAAGCCGCCTTAGCCACTTACCCCCCAAAAAAGCCCACATGAGCAGCCAGACTCCGGGTGACTGGGAATTTATGAGACCCCTGTCTTTTCCCTGCTTTGATTAAAGTATTTCCTCTCATTTGCAAATGAGCCTTTTTTGGTCTTGAGGTTGTAAATGATAAGCTCAGGATGTACTCTGTGGCCGGGAATGCACAATTACACTTCCTGGTATTGGGAAGCACCATGTTAGCATTCCCTGTAGAAGTCTTAGTGTGTATCCAGGATGAAGTGCATGTTACCAAAAGATTCATTTTGTGATTGTTTTAATTTCATGAAACTAACGGAGCCTCAGTCTCAGGATAGGGTCAAATATCTAGGCCTTTGCCATTTCCAGGATCAAGGTGAGGCGGAACAACTGGATTTTTCTTTTGAAAGTAGAATCAACCACAAGTTACAGATCCTTAAGTCCAGAGTTCCTTCAGCTTCTTACTTGCACAAGTATACAACTGGGAATTAATAAAGGGCAGGAGTAACAAAGTCTTACCCCTTCCTCTTTTAGGAGAGCCTCAGTTCAACCATGACCAATGGATGTAGTATGAGAAAAAAAGCTAGTCCTCAGCAATTAAAAATGGTCCCAGGGTAAATGAGAGTGCATCGAATTTTATTAGCAAAAGTCAATAAAAGGGAATGCACTTCAGGTATGGTAATGATAAACCCATCATGGAAGGTTCTGGAAGCCGACTTGCATGCTGGGCTTTCAAAGGGATACAGTGTAAAGATCATGCAATTTAGAACTCAAAGCATCTGAGTTCGTCTCCAGGCTCTGCCACTTACATTGTAACTATGGGCAATTTACTTAATTTCCATGACCTTCAGCTTTAGCTATAGAGCAAGGGCCATAAAAATACATACATCCTCAGAGGGCTGGTGAAAGGTGAAGTGAGACAAAGCATTCAAAAGTACTTAGAAACCCCTCAGGCACCCATAGCAGTATTAGCTATAGGAATTATCAAGAAAAACATATTTTTCAAAAGACCAGAAATAAAACTTAAGGATTCCACTTAAAGGGTCAGCTCTGGGGCATATTCTAAGGTATCAAAGCTAACACCTTCCATGGACTGAGTGTGCCCAGCTCTGTCCTCATAGGGTGGACCCTCTGCTAGCCCTGCCTCATTCATAAGGCTCTCCTTAGAGTGCACTCCAACCCCAGCATCCTCAGGAGTCAAGGATAACAGCAGCCAGTGAAAACCGGAAGCTTGCAATTGGGTACCAGGTATTCAGAAGAAGGTGAATGCAAAAGAGCGGGAGTGGCAGGCGTGGGGAGAGCCAGCCCAGGACATACTGTGAGACAGCCCAGAGCCAGTGTCACACCCACATCCAGACACACAAAGCCTCATGCAACTGGACAACACTCCAAACAGAAACAGGCACCTGGACAAGCCCACTGCTACTTGGCTCCAAGTTCTTTCCCAGATTGGAAGTGCTGCGTGAAGAGCATTCGTATGACATACCTCTGAGTCAGTAAAAAAGTTGTAAAGGAGGACATCATCAAACTCTAAGCCTTTTGCTTCATAAATTGTTAACACAAGCGCTAACCCCAGCTCTTCTGGAATTTTCTCCTTTGCCATTTCATTAGCTACAAGGATTACCTGGGGGAAAAAGAGGTGGAAAAGAAAAAATATCACATTCTACAAAGAGAAATCTGGTTAAGCTCGGTCTATTTCTATGGGAGACAGGTAACCTCTTTAAAGAGAAGTGGTCTGCATAGACTTGCTCAGCGAGGCTATTGGAATTATTCAAGCAATTAGTCACCGACCCATCTCTGAAACTTATCCATCCTGGGAAAGGGGCTATTGAATTCTGTCCTGTGGAATAATTCAGCCTCTCAAACCTTTCTTCATTTGCAAACTGCCTTTTATTTCCAAACATTCGATCCCAGGAAACTCACCTGGTGAGCTCCAAATTCAATGGGCTGGGTTTTCCTCTTGTTCCCTCGTAGCAAAATTGCCAAGTCACTTACACTACAAGACTCCAGGACAATTGGTTTGGGACCATCAAAGAGGCCAGAATCCCTTGGAAGACGATCAAAAGATTCTGGGAAATAGAACTGAAGTAAGTCCACCACTCCAGATGCCAGGTTGAGGATTCCTGGAATAAAACAGAAAACACATATCTGTTAAAAACATGACAACATGGCTGGGTTTTTGTGTTTTCGTGATTCTGTTTTTATTTGGGTTTTGCCCTTTCCCTGAAGAACAGTTTTGGCCCTGAAGGTAGGTATAATTCCCAATTTCCAGTTCCCACTAGATAATCACTTTGGCTCCGAGTCGTATTACTCTGGGTAGGATGGAGGCAGAGAGGCGTCGCTCTGCTAAGGTTTGTGGGCTCTCATTCCAGACCTATATGGATATTAGAGGAAATCACCTCACAAAGAAAAGTCAAGGCAGAAATGTAATCTAAGCAGGACTACAGAATGCTCATATAGGAGCCGACACAGATGAGGAAGTGGGAAGTACCCTGTCCCCTCTCACTGGTGCTTAGAGCACTGGAGATAGCATTGCATGGTAACAGCATGCTGGCTGTTAGGGGTACAACCCAGGCCCCCCTCGCCCATCACCCTTTTCTTCCCGGTCATACCCAGCTGGGAGGGGGCCACACCAAAGAGAGCTGGGGAAAGGAGTCTCCCAAGAGCTCTCTCCCTGGACCCATTTTCTTGTCTAGGCTCTGAAGGAGCTTTGACAGTGATGCTTCTGAAATTCTACAACAGACACCTTCATAAAAATCATTCTGCTTAATCCTCCCAACAGTCCAGTGAGACAGACCAGACAATCCCACTTTTACAAACAGGGTCTCTGAGGGAAGAAGGTAGTAAACATGACAAGTGATAGAATTTGAAGCTGGATAGAACATAGATCATCCTAGGTCTCCCCACCCAGGGGCCATGTGCCCTGCGCCTAACACCAGATAGTATGTTCCTGGTAGAAGACCATGAAATGGGAAAAGAAGACAAAAACTGCTCTTCAGTGCAGAAAGATACAAAAATCAAAAAGGCAGACTGTTCAGCAAGATTTTTAGATACCAGATCAACACACAAGACCCAACAGCATTCTTCTAGACCAGCAGTAACTCATCAGAAAGCATGACAAAAGAGAAAAAGGCACCATGATAGTAACATAAAGTATAAGGCACCAGGCACAAATCTAACAGCTGTGTAAATGTTGAGGGGAATCGTAAAATACTATGGAAACCATAAAAGAAAACCTGAATAGAGAAATGTGCCAAGGTCATGGTTTGGAAGTCCCAGTAATATAAAATGTGAATTCTCCCCAAAAGCAATAAATTCAATGAAATTCCAATCAAATTACAAAGAGTTGTAGGGGAACTTTGATACCTATCATTAACAATGACAGTGTGATAATAACACAAGTACAGGCCAGTAGACAAATAAAATAAAATAGTGAGTCCAGAAACAGATTCACAGACACATGAGAAAAGCAGAATCACAACCTAGAGGACAGGACAGACAATAAAGTAAATGGCGTTAGCAGGACTGATTATTCATATGGAAAATGCAAAATGAGGTCACAGAAAGGTTATTTCAATAAAGACACATCATGCCACATATGCATTTTAGATAAAGTGCACTTAATTAAACCTACCCAATTTTAAATACCTGCCTAAATATAGACACGAAATTTTAAACCATTAGAAGACTAAATGGGAGACCATATTAACTCCAGAGCAGAATTTCTTAAGACAAAAAAGAGCAAATCTTAAGATTCCTAAGTTAAAATTTAAGGTATTTGTCTCCTAAAGAACACATTAGTTATATACTTTTTTTAATGTTAGTGAAGTTAAAAAGACAAGCCACACAATTTGGAGAACCTGCAATACACACAAACAACAAAAATGTGAAGGCAAAATTCATAGAGAATTCTTAACAAATTAGTAAGAAAAATAACTCACTTAAAAAGGATGCAATGAAAAACAGACGACTCACAGAATACTGAAAGGCCAAGAAACACATGGAAACATGCCACATCTCAGGAATACAGAAATTCAAACCACAAAAGATGTCATTTCACACCCACCAGGAAAGCAGAGCAAGGGGATATAACACAGATCCCAAGAGATCTCCTCAGGGGCAGTCACCCAGGACTATGTCACAGCAGAAAACTGGCAGGAGTCTAATGCCCATCACTGGAAAGTGGTAACAAATGGTGACTAGTCCTAAAATGGAATACTAACACTAGTAGGAATGCATGGACTAGAACTCCTAATTAGCAATATGCAGGAACCCCAAAATATGACATTAAGCAAAAGTATGAAGTTGCAGAAAGATATGTCTGGCATGATCCCATGTAAACTAAACATGTAAATAATACTCTACTGTTCATGGACACAGGAGGTGAGCTCGTGAGCATACTATAAACCAGACAGGATGCATTCTGGCCTCAGTGTCACGTTACGTAAACCCTCTGTGCCTTGGGTTTCCTCCTCTGTAAAATGGGAGCAATGCCTAGCTCGTAGGATGAGAAATGCACACAGGTACTATATGCAAACTGTTCAGCACCGTGCCTGGCACAGAGAACAGGCACAACTGAGGTGCAAATTAAAAGCACCTGCTTGTGTGTTACCTCCCATCACCTCCCACCCCGCTTTTCTGGCTTTTCCTGGGGAGAAAAGGATTAATGATTTACAGTGAGTTAACAAAAGTTCCTGAGCAGTTTAAATGTTCCCCTGAACTGTTTTCATGTCCTGGCAAACTCCCTAGGATGTAATTCCTTAACGGTCCATTCTGCTCAACCAAGGCCTAAATTACAAACCTAAGAATGAGGAGGGGTAGAAATCCTAAGACCTCTTGTTCATGAGTGTATTTCCTTATCTGTCCTTACTTCAGCTACAAAAGCCTAACAAGAGCTAGGCCACAGCGGCAGCAGCAGCGTGGGATGGGCACCCAGGACCTCCCCATGGGCGAGCCCGGGGCTGAACGTACCCGAATGGGACCTGTAATTCTGGTACAGCTGGTGGATCTTCTTGGGCTTGCGGATGGCACACTGCTTGTCTGCGGCGTTCCTGCTGGCATAGTGGAACAGGGAGCGCAGGTCGCTGAAGCGGAAGGCCACACCCTTCATGATGCTCTGGGCTGTGTCCCCGGTGAGGAACATGGCGTTGGGGTCATTGATGCATTTCATCAGCAGGGCCAACTCAGCTTGTGTGAAGTCCTGAACCTCATCGCCGTAGAGCTCATGGATGGACCACGGAAGCACCTTGAGCTTCAGGAGCCTCTGGGACAGGTTGTATAGAACATCCTCTTCGTCAAAATAACCTTTCTGAGACCTGATCTGCTCGTACAGGCAGAAGAGGCTGTAGATCTCACTCCGGTCCTCCTTGAAATTGGGGGACCGCTTCCTCCCCAGCTTCTTATATTCATCTTCCGTAAGTCTCCCCTGAGGACAGCTAAGGGCCTCAATAGATCCCTTCAGGAAAGATTTTATTTCTTTCCAAATAAGTGCAGGGTTGTAGGAGGTTTTCCCCTTGGCCATTTTGGGCCATATTTCACTGGTGAACACCTCAAATGTCACATACACGCGGGGGTCACTGTCACCCATCTGTGTTTCCACAGCTTTGTCCTCCTGGCCGGAGTCCCAGTCCACCTCGGCCTCCTCCTCATCCTCCTGCCATTTGGGGATGGTGAGCTCTTCCTGCGTGGACCATCCCAGGATGGATCTTTTCAAGCTGCCATCTTCATTTCTCAGAAAAAATGGTTTGGGCAGAGAAGCGTCCAGCAAGAGGAGCAGCTGCCTGGAGGTGACAAACAGAGGGAAGTTCTCATCCCGCAGGTCCTGGAGCTTGTGCACGTCGGGTTCCAGGGGTCTGTAGTGGCTGGTGGCCTTGGTAGACTTGGAGAGCTCAATGAAATTCCTCTGCACCTCCTGGCACAGAACATGGTTCTTGGTCACAAAGATCTGATGTAAATGCTCCAGCTGGTTAGGACATTCAGGAGTGCATACTTCTGCCTCTGGACTGGGCCTCCCTGGCTCCCCACTGGCTGCCCCTGTGCAGGCTGCACCCTCTGGCTCCTCATCTGTGCTGTCCATGCTCTCCATCCCGATGGAACTGCCATCCCCCTCTTCCTCCTCTGCCTCTTCCTCCCCAGTGGGGCTCTCCTTTTGGGGTTCCACCTCCAGCCTGCTCTTCAGCCACATCTGTTTGGCCAGCAGTGGGCTCCCCGCCTGCTCGGCCTTCTCCCAGTAAATGTGGAATTTCTTCCACAGCCGGTACAGGCAGCAGGTTGTCTTCCCAGTGCCACTGCGCCCGATGAGGATGATGGACTCCGGCGGCCTGGGGTGCAGGTTGATCACGGCACACTCGAGCTCGCCCACTCGGAACGGGTACTCCACGGTGGCTGTCATGTTGCTGAGGATGTTAAAGGCCATGTTGGTGCTGAAGCTGTGGAACTTCATGATGTTGTACTCGGTCTCCACTGCGCTGGCCCGGGGGAAGTACTCGGGGTCCAAGTGCCCCCTGTTCCTCTCGGCCCCTGTGTCCTCCACATAGCAGTGGGGTATCCGCTTTTGGACTTTGGTGCTGGCTGACACCTGGCCTCTGTTAATACCCCTTAGCTTCTTCCGCAGCACGCAGGACTGGCCCCGGTTGTAGGCATTGCAGATGGCCCGGATGGAGTCCGACAGCTTGCAGTGATCTAAGACGATGTCCCAGATCCGGATGATTTCTGTGTAGACCTGCCCCGACTTCTCTGTGGAGTGCGAGTTCCACTCTGTGGCCATGATCTTCTCTGGGCTCTCGCTGCATCGAGGAGAGAAGTCGATGGCAAGCTCCCACAGCATCCGGGCTCCTTTGTCCAGCTTGGCCTCGAAGAGCTGGATGTGTCCTTCCAGGTGCTTCAGCCGTTTCTGCAGGCCCTGCGTCCACTCGCCATTGCCCAGCTGCTGGATGGCAAGGATGATTTTCTTCTTCATCACCTTCGTCATTACCTTACTGGACAGCTTTTTCAGCACCTCCGAAGTACACTCGATCTCCCACGTCATACTCTCAAAGTCCTGGAGGCAGGCCTCGATCTCATGCACACTGCAGTTGTCCAGATTGTTGCTGCCCTCCCTCCCTCTGTGACCAGCAGGAATGAGCTGAGGATGTCCTTCCCCCGCCTCAAGGACAGCAGGGTTGTTCCCACTACAGCCAGAGCCCTCCACTCCCAGAGCTCGCTGGTGCTCCTCTTCCTTGGCCTCTGTGTTAGCACCTGTCTCCAGAGGCTCGGGGGCCTGAGGACCATCCTCTGGGAGGGACGTATCCACCTCAACCTGCTGGATCAACAATGTGAGGTGCTGCACCAGGTGGTCTCTCAGAGAGCAGGGCCTGTCAGCACCAGGCTCCTGCCTCACCACCTGGGCATCCAAGAGGGCCTCCCAGCTGTCAGGGACCACAGCTTCTCCAGGCTGGGTTCTGGCGGTGATGCTGCACGGCAGTGACTTGGATGAATCCTTGGACCTGAGCTGTGCCGTGTGGCCGAGGGCAGCAGACCTTGGGAGCCTCCCCGGGTCCTGACGGCCCTTCCGCCTGCTCATCATCAGAGCCTTGTTCCAGGCCAAGAGCAGAGCATCATTCTTCTTGACCCGGTGCCGCACGTCTTTGCCTTCCTTGTTCTTTAGGTTGAAGTTGATGTCAAACTTCACCAGCAGGCCCACCAGCCTCTTCATGTGCTTCAACATGCTCTTCTGGAAGAGGATGTGCATCAGCGTGTTCCCATTGCTGTCCTGGATGTTGGGGTTGAGGTAGTAAAATTCAGTGGGGTTGCACCAAAACAGGTCCAACAGGTGGCTGAGGAAGTTAAATCCGATGTCAGCTGAAAAACCAAGCAAGGCCCTGTGAGTGCTCAGCAACCTGCTCAGAGAACAGGTACCCCGCACTTGGGAGAGATGCCAGCTGGGGCCTCTCCAACCCTGAACTTCCCCAAACATCTGATCACCAGTGGTTCTCACCAGGGGCGGTTTGCTCTCCAAGGGACATTTGGCAATGCCTGGACACATTTTTAAGGGTCACAGTTTGAGAGGTGCTACTGGCATGTAGTGGGCCAAGGAGAGGGATGCTGCTAAATGTCCTACAGGGCAGCCCACCACAGAGAATGATCCAAATGTCAGCAGTGCCAAGGCTGAGAAAGCCTGAAACAGCCTCACAGAACGCCAGTAAGATCCTTTAGGCTGGACCCTCAAAAATGGCGCAAATAAAAGAAAGCAGCTGTCAGCTACAGGGAGACAAGTTTGAAACTTAAGAATCCTCCTCCAGCAACCCACCCTGGCCATCCACCTTTCCGGCACGCTACCGGCGAGGAGCCGGGACATACGGCAGGCCTGGCTGTGAAAAGAGGCTTCGTCAGCTCACTGGTTTTCCCAGGAGGAAAGACCAGAAAGCAGCATCAGGCCTAACATCCAGCTTCCTTCCCAAGGGAAGGGCTACTTAGAAATAAAAGCCTACCTTCGATGTCTAAGAAGATGTGCAGAGCTGCGTGCAAAGGGGTGTCGCCCTCCGTGAGAGAGATCCCACGGGGGTCTGCGCCCTCGGTCAAGAGAAGGAAAGCCAGCTCGAAGTCGCCACGCTGCAGGCACAGGACCAGCGGCCTCTCCTGGCTGTCCTGGAGGCCCTCGGGCAAGGCTGGGGGCAGAGCACAAGGCTGTGAGCTGCCCACCAGGGAGGGCACAGCCCACTCACCCAACAAGGGTGGCCGCTTCTGCCCCGACTCCAAGGCAGGAGTGACACTGACCCCCATTGGCCTTCCCGCCCTCCTGGGAGGCAGCAGCTTCCCAGCCCTCAGAGCAGAAGCCCCCTCCTCCAGGTGCCCGTCTGCAGGCCCTGCCCCTCTCATGCCCCCAGCTCCCCTTTTTGTGCAGCTACAGGACAGCAGGTCCCCCCATCAACACTGCCAGAGCAGGGCCTCCTCAGACACCTGAAATGCTAACACGGGGCAGCAGCAGTCAGTGACTAGGGTGTGAGCGCTGCTGCTGTCCCTCGCTTCTACAAAGCTGCCCCGAGGGAATGCCCAGCCACCCTCAGCTGCCCTAGTCCCTGGAAGCCCCCAGCCCACCCCTCCTCTACCCCGAAGGCTCCCGGCCCTCCTTGCTTGGGCACACACTCCAGTGGCCCTGCACTCATTCTTTGTCCTTGTCCCCAGCACCTGATCCTGCAGAGTGTCTGGTAAGTGCTTGCTGAATCAGAATAAAAGAGGAATTCCATAACAGTCAGAGTCTCTGGCCAAACACAAGGCATGGGTTCAGAGCAATGACCAGCAGGAGGCATTCTATCTGCCCCCAGAAGCCCCTGGATAGAGCTAATGCCTGCAGGCTTTGAATGGCGGCTGAGTGCTGAGGAGCCATGTACCCTCACTCCTGATGGACATTTCCCTTAGAGCCAAAGCAACTGCCAGGGCAGTTCCAAGAGCCTGCACACATGAACTCATTAATACTCAAAACAGCCCTAACAAAGAGGACTATCACCATTCCTGTGTTATAACTGAGGAGATGAAGGCATAAACAGCACACCAAGGCCACCCAGTCGGCAGGCATTAGTGGGGGTGCAGGTGAGAGCAGGAGGAGGCTAGTGTTTTCAAATTAGTTTCAAAATTAAACCCGATCTGGCAGGACATCTGCACACCATAGACATACATGCAGCCAAGTGTGGTTGTGCTCATGAGGGCGGCAGATGTTTCCACCCACCAATTGTTTTGGCTGTTTCTTTAAAAACAAACATCTCAAATCCCAATCTGCTGGGCAGAAACGAATGCCACAGAGCTGACAAGGACCCTCGCAGCACACTGAGTGTAGGGAAAGCCCAGCTGGCGGCAGGAGGAAACAACCGCCGTGAGCAAAACCAGGGCCAGGGACCCCTCTGCTACCTGAGGCTTCCCCCAAGACAGAGACAACAGAGAGCGCTGAATTCACAAAGAACACAGTTCCTGCAGGGTGACACCCACTGACCCTGCCACTACTCCAAAAAAGAGGTGGAGGATGTGGCAGAATCAAAGAGGTCTCCAAAGGGAAAGATCCTGCAGCGGGCAGCACAAGGCCCCGGGGCCCATGTCCGGGAACTATGCTGGGCATCCTCACCTCCACTGTCTATCAGACAGCCCAGCAGCTGTGTCTTGCGCTGGTCCCAGGTGCTGAGCGGGGGGATGACGGAGCAGAGGTCCAGGCTGGAGAAGTCACAGTCCCTGAGGAGGCCGGCTCCCCGCGGCAGCTCCCCACTGACTTTGCGGGTCAGCAGCAGGAGCACTTCAGGGAATTTCTGTTTTTCCAGCAAAAACTTGATGAAGGTGCTGGCACAGTTGCGATTAATGTCACAAACCAGGTCAGGAGGAATTTCTTTTAAAAATAAGAAAACACCACACTCCACAAAAAGGTTCATAGGATTTCCATCCCCAGCTGCAGCCCAACACGTGTATACGTAATTAACACAAATTGAAGATCAGTGTTTTTAAGTCCAGGGAAACTGTAAACAAAGAATTAACTACTTGTGACATACTAGTAACCACTCATCAGCAATAGCATGAGCACTGGCCATCAGAGCTGTGAGCTTCCAGGGAAGGTTAGAAACACCCGGAGGAGAGTAGAGACTGGACCAGGGCGAGGGCGGAATGAGCACTGTGTCTTAAGGCAGAGCACTTGGGTGGGACAGTCTACTGAGAGCAGCAGGGCAGGGGCCCAGCTTACATTTTGTGTACTGTTACACGTATGCCCTGCATAAAGAACACTGAAACACAGGGAGACACTACAGAGTAATTAAAAAATCACCTGTAGGATAACAGTGAGAGGATGGCTTAAACCCCAAATCTTAGTTTTGTATCATGATACATATTTCCTCCAGATCTCTGATATCTGGGGACAGGATGATGGTTATCCCAGTTCATACACCTTAAGGGTGGTTATATGCTGGTATATGTTAAGGATAGAAGACTTTTAAAAGAAATCTTCAGTAAGTAAATTGCCAAATTTAGCAAATAAAAATACAAGATGCTAGTTAAATTTGAATTTCAGATAGACAATGAATACATTTTTAGTATATCTCATGCAATATTTGGGACATACTTACACTAAAAATATAGGCATTATCTGAAATAATAATCAACCAGCATTGTGCATTTTGTCTGGCAACCCTGCCAGTAAGAAAGCAGGGAGGAAGAGAAGAAGGGAAGAAGTCTAGAGTTACCTGAATAAGAGCAATTGATTTACATTTGCTAGTTTTTGCTTCCCCTCTTTTTCTAAGTTTCCTAAAATGATATTCATTTTACTATTTCAAATGTTCATTTGAAAACAAGAAAAAACTCTCACTACAGGCTGCCCTATCATCTTAACAGAAGTCAGCACAGTGAAAGCACAAGCCACAAACTTTTGTAATAGACGTTTGCAATGTCTGTGCCCCAGGATCGCATTCTCTCTGGCAGCAGCGCCTCCTACCTGCCAGTTCTCCCCATCCCACAGGGCTGGGAGGGGGGCAGCGGATGATTCAGGCCTGAGCCACCAGGGCTCCCCATGGCCCTGACCACAGGTATTGGCTCAGAGGTGCACACCGTGACCCCAGGTGAAGAACTTTGGTCCAAACCACTGAGAGGTGGGTTGATCCACAGGCCAGAAAGACAGGACAAAGTCAGTGTTTAGAGCCTGGACCTTATCTCCACAGAACCTGAGGTGGAAGCTGGGCTGAAAGATGGGAGGCACGGGGTCCTGGTGACGTTGCTCTGAGCTCTGCAGCCTGCTGTTCCTGAAGGCAGCACGGCCTCCCGGGTAAGCGAGCTCACTGTTTTGCTGGCTTAAGCTGATTTGAGTCTGTTACTTCCAACAGCAACAGTTCTAAATACCCTACCCAGTAGCCAACTAAGGAGACAGAGAGAAAGGGGGAGAAAAAGAAAGAAAAAAATTCAAAAGAGTTGGATGGATTAGAGGTACTCAAAGATAGCTGGGGGAAGAACTCAGGAAAGATAGAGAGTAAAGGACATTAAGGAACTCAGAAAGCGACCTCGCCAAAGGGAGAGAAACAAGAGCCACACTCAATCCCCTCAGAGGACCAGAGAACACAAGGTACGGGCCGCAGGACACAAAAGACAGCCATGAAGAAGCACCCATCGTGGGGCCGCTTAGGGGACTTGCACCGGACACCGATGCAGAGTGATTTACGCTCACAGCCCCAAGGATGAACGAGGACAGTCTTCATGGGTCACGGGTCCCATGGCATCAAGTCCAAGAGCCCAGTTCCCAAGAAGTGGTGGGGAGCACAGAATGGCCAATGTCTACCACATCCCACACAAAGGGCCTGATGCCAGAGTCCTGGGTGTGTCATCCATCTGTGGCCCACTCATCCAGGAAAGTTCAGTCTGGCCACTGGGCCTCCCCACAGCCCAACTAACAGTAATGGGTGTTAGCATTTGATGTACAGGGCGCTGGACTAAGTGTCCCACATCACCAGCTCATGAGGGTGGCTCCCCAGTTGAGACAGGGATGAAGAAATTGAAGCTTAAAGAGGTTAGCCCAAGGTCACGGCTTGGTAAGGGGTAGAGTTAAGATTCAGATGCAAAACTCCACGCCTTACACCCTGTGATTCACAGCACACCTGAAAAGCATTTGTGGGTCCTCTGGCCAGACCTTCCTGCATTCTCTGTAGACTTGAGAAGCCTCAGCTTTATGCATGCTTTACAGCCATACTGACTGCTGACTTTGAAAATACTAAATTTCACCTACTTAGAGTCTCTTGAATCTTCCTTTATTAGCTAAAGTTTGTCATCTAAAGTTCTTTTCTGGAACTTTCCTGATTTCCTCATAATGAAAAAAATTACCATTCAATTTTATAATAACTTTATACACCAACATTAGCCAATATCCATAGACAAGAGAAACATCTTTGTTATTTAAAATAGGATAGTATATGCAAAGAGTAATTCCAGAAGAATACAAGAAAACTAGTGACAGAGGTTGCCTCTGAGAATGGGATTCAGGGATTGAAGTTTAGGGGTGATGAAAACAGGTGATGAAACTCAGGGTGGATGACAGGCTCTTCCCTGAAGAATGTTCTGTGCTATTTCAACGTTTTATGTGTAGACATCACAACTATTTTTTTAATTAATTTTAAAAAATATATTAGGAAAGAGTTTTAATGCACATGAATCAAGTGTAATGCAACTGCATGTTGTGGGAAAACCTACCTTGCAGAGAAGAAAGGAGATGCAAGAATCTCTGAACAACATCTTGCTTCAGAAAGTTTTTATGCAATAACCCATTTCCTGAGTTCATGTACTGCACCAGCTGTTCAGAGGCTTTCCGGAAAATATCACTCTTGCTAGTGGGTCCGTCACCATTGTTCAATCCTGCAAAACAACACTAGGTGGTATTGCTCCTGGATTCAGGGTTCAAAGCTGCAGCAGACCAGAGATTACCACAGTGTCCACCCTTCCCTTGGTCCGTGTGCTTTGCCTGTGATTCTGCAGCCCTTCCATGGAGAGGTGAAGCTAATCCCTTCCCCTCCCAATTCCAGCCCAGCCCCATGACTTGCTATGAACTAACAGGAGGCAGTGAATGTGACTTTTGTGCCAGTTCTGAGCCTGGGCCTCAGGAGACCTTGTTCAGTTCTACTTATTTACTTGGGACCCTGGCCTCTGCCACTTGAAGGTCCAGGCTAGTGTTCTGGGAGATAAGAGACAGCACAGGACAAAGAGGAATCAACCCAGTTGTCCAAACAGAGGCTCCAGGATGGGAAACAGCCCAGCCAAAATCAGCAAGACTACAGATACTTGAAGGAGCCCAGTTAAAGCCGTGAGAACAGCCCGGCCTGTACTGCTGACCTGCAGGATCATGAGCTAAATAAATGCTTGGTCTTTTCAGCCACTAAGTTTTGGATCAGCTTGTTATGTGGCGATAGCTGACTGATATGACAGCTCAAAGAAGTGACAACAGGAGGGTGGCTTAGTGCAAGAGCAATGTCCAACCGCATGCCAGCCCCCCCACATCTCACTAGAGGCTGGGAAAGCCAAGCACAGAGCCAGCTATTTGGCCAAAGAAGAGGAGACCATATCCTCTCGGTTTAATTTATTTCAAAAAGTAATTGTGATTGGAAAACACCACTGATGAATGTTGAAAAAGAGCAACTGTTTTATTTGGTACCAGCTTATACACTCAAAAAGCACTCTTGGCTAAAATGGAATCATACTGAACACACAGGGGAGTAAACCGGACGTCTGTTTTCACACCCAGGGAAAAGGGCCTGGCCCACAGCACAAGCGCTGTCACGTCCAACGTCATGTTCTAACAGAGGAAGGGCACTTTGCAAGAGATGGACGATTTGGAGATGAGGGAAAAATTAAAAGTATCTTATCTTCAATCAGTCAAGGATTTGTGGGCAAGGCCTTCATCAGGAGGAGACCACTGAGGGGGTAGGGGAAGCACTGTCAGGGAGGAAGCCAGGCCACAGTGTGAGCTCAGGCCTCCCCTGACCCCACTGGGAGTTCTGGAGTCACACACCTCCAAGCTGTCCCCTTCCAAGGCAAGGGAAATGGGCCATTAATTTTCACATCTGTCGCTGCCTATAGGCTGCCTTGGGAGGATGTAAATTCCCAGGGCCTTCTGGTTTGAAGGAACATGAGCAAAGCAGGTTCCATAAGCCTGAAGCCTGTTCTTGAGAACAACCTTAGTTGCTGGCTTTTCAAAGTGGAAGGTATACTTCCTGCATCAGGGAGCACATAACAAGGGAAGAGGCATCCAGGGGATCCCAGCAGAGCCCTGACATTATCTGCTGTACCTTCTGATACACACCTGGGTCACCTTTCAACCAATCAAGCCAGAATAGCAGAAACATACACACACTTCTGGGGTAAATGCCCATTGCCCTCCAATCAAGTGACCTTTAGGTGCCAGACAGAAGCAAGACCCAGCGCTACCACTACCCTCCACAGAAAAGGAGACGGAAGCCATTTGCCAAGGAAGCCCACATTGCCTCAGCTGGAAGCCCACCCTGAGACCAAAAGCCTGTGTGTCATGTAACAATGCCTGAGAGCCCCCCTAAACTACCTACAAAGTCCCAGAGAAAACTTCATCCTAAACTACCTACAAAGTCCCAGAGAAAACTCACAGTACAGGAGAACAGGGCCCTTGGTGCTGGGGCGATGCTTTCGCTAATAAGCAGATGGAAATTGCTGCCTAGCCTGCCTCATGCCCTTAGAAGTTTTTCAGGAACATCCTTTTTTCACCAGGGCTATTAATGAGTATAAAGTCACTTGAAACAACAGAAATGTACCAAGCTTGCCAGCAGAGACAATTAGGTGCAATTGTATAATGAACACACAGTGCTGTGGTTCAGAACAGTTAAGCAGGCATTTAGAGATCAGAGAAAGCCCCAGACATCAGGAAAGAACGAAAGAATGCCACCAGCAACATAAAAATGCATAAAAGGGAAGGTGCTCAATGCTGACAATGCTGTGGGTAGGATGGGCGATTTGTTTACGACTCTGAACTTACCTGTTCTTTTCTCAAATTTTCTATAAGCTTAATGAAAGGCAAGAGACATCAAGATATAAAACTGCTTATACATTATAATCACAGATTTTTTTTAAAGACTATGTTAACTACTAAACAACAACAAAAACAGAGGCTGGATAAAATATGCTAAAATGTTAGTACAATAAATTTTTGTTTTTATATAAAACTATGTTTTTACACATTTCCTGCAATGATTATATTTAGTAGATATGTAAGCAGATTTGAAATTAAGAATTAAAATTAAAAGAGACCTAAAGTTGCAACAGTGGCCAGAGGGTTAGAAAAATAGAAATCAATCACTACAAAAAGAGATTTGTTTTCACCTGAAATCTTTCTTTAAGGCTAAGAGGCAAAACTGTATTATACACATTTTATCTATTTAAATTTACGTACCCACCTCATTTTTATAAAACGAACAATTATAAATGCATGCAGTAAGACTGAGCGACCAAATCACAAATACAGTAATTTGGGGAGGAGTGGGGGAGGCCGGCGGGTTTATGAAGAATAACTATTTTCTTGTTTTCTTCTCCTACATTTTGTAAATTCTCCTTTAAAAGGAAGAATATATTGCTTTTGTAATAAGGAAAACGCATCATGGACATCCTTCCAGTCAATACCACTCATCTGCGTTTAGTGAAAACAGGGCACCATCTTGTGCTGAGGGAAGTGCAGACGACAGACCACAGCCTGAGCCTCAGGCCGCGCCTACTCAGATCTCCTCTGAGTGCGGCGCTGGAGGGGCCTCCATAAGCACAGAGGGCGGCCGGCTCCTCACTGAGGACTAGAGAGAAAAAAAGCTTCAGAGGCCTGGCTTGCTCTCACGCCAAAGGGACACGCAAGCGTCATTCTGGGAAGACCACAAACAAAGGCTCTGATGCTGTCCTCCATCCTGAGTCTTTCCTGAGATGAGCAACAGCCGCCCAAGAAGGTGGGCGTGCTGCCATCTGGTGGTAGCCTGAGAGGCAGGTAAATTCAGCAGCCCCGTAATCTGCGGTTCCCTTTCTGGGGCTTCAGCTACGCGGGGTCAGTCGCGTCTGGAAGCACGTGACCCTCCCTCTGATGTAGCGTCAGACGGTCCATAGCAGCCTAACGCCATGTCACATGTCTACATCCTTCACCCCAGGTCGCCTCATCAAGCAGGCATTTTATCATCTCACATCACAGGAAGGGGAAGTTCAGTACAATAAGGTATTTTGAGAGAGAGAACACATTAGTTTTATTACAGTGTATTGTTATAATTGTTCTATTTTATTATTAGTTCCTGTTAATCTCTTATTGTGCCTTATTTATAAATTAAACTTTATCATACGTATATGTGAAGAAAAAAGCATAGTGTCTATAGGATCTGGTACCATCTGCAGTCTCAGGTATCCACTGGGGGTCTTGGAACGTAGCCCCCACAGGGAAGAGGCACTGCTGTGTGTGACCCTGACGCCTTGCGGGTGAAGCCTTGCTCCTGTGAGTGGGCTCCTGCTTCCCCGGCTGCTCGGGGCAAAGGCAGAATTTCGGGTCATGTCTTGAACCTGATGAATCAAAATCTGCACTTTAACAGGCAGAGTGATTAGCTCAGGATTTCCTGATTCAGAGAAGAGCAGAATCTCCAGCAAGACCCTTCATTTCTTTCCTACCTCTATGCAAAAACCACCCTATCCAAAGACCAGATGGCCACCACTACCATCAGCCTGGGGCACAGTGACCTCCAGGAAGACAGGGAGTGAGCAGACCTTGCATCCTAGTCTCCAAGCTGGAATGTGAGCTTATCTGTGCACAAAGAACTCGTGTCCTGACGGGGCTTTGCTCAGGACCACAGAGGGGAGCAACCAAACCCATCAAGTCATGCTCAGGTCGGGGATAAGGGTACCAACCCCCTGCAGCAGATCTTCCCAGAGATAATGCTTCCATCCAGCCCACTACCATGTGAGGAGGGGAAGGGCTTAAAGTCCATAAAATCTGCATTTTTATGACTAGAGCTCTACCTTTATACCCATGGCCCAACCTTCCCTTTGCCTCTCCCTCCCGCTATCTTCTCACAACTACTCTGGTTAGAAAGACTATTCTGGAGCTAAAGTCTAAACTACATGGCCCATACATTGGCCACTAACTTAATTATATAAAATGAAAGTCGCTTAACTACAATTAAAATTTCAGTTCTTCAGTTGCATGAGCTGCACACATTTCAAGTGGTCAACAGCCATACATGACTGGTGGCCAACACATCCAACAGAGCAGATATCACACATGTTCATGATTACAGAAAATTACATTGCATGGTACTGGTCTAAAACAGTCCCCCAGCCCCACCTCAGGTTTCAAAGTTTGTGCAACTGGCAAAATCTTAGAAACAAATGTATGCATACAACTCCATACAGCTGTATGGATATATAAAAAAATGCCACCATACTCAGTACAGAGAGCACATTATGATACTGAATTCCACAGGGGTTCCACAGCTAAGAGTCTTTGGGATGTCCTGTGTTGGAAGACTCCAATTTGCTAGCCCTTCTCAATATCTGCTGTCCTCCTCTTTTCTGATTTTTGCGGTCTCTTTTGTTTGTTGGACTCAGTATTTCCCTGTAATCTTAATATTCCTCTAATGTTGACCCTTGTTCTTCATGGTCAATGGTCTGGAAATTTTTTAGTAATCAAGCATCCAGTAAATGGACCAATGAGTATTGGGGGCTTTAGGCTTGATGACATCTGGGCCTTCACAAACCACCCAGAGAGACAGATGGCAGGCCTGGAGAGGGGCACACTCCTCTTCCCTGTGCTTTGCTGCCAAGCAAGCACAGCCGAGTTCTAGTAAATATAAAGGGGACTGGCTGTGATTCTACTGAGTCTCTCCTCTTGGTCTCAAACCTGGTCACAGGTCTAGTTGGCAAAACAGGACAGAGAGGAAGGGAGATATTGAGATGTTTTTAGGATTAGCAGATATTCAAAGATTCTATTATACAAGGACACTGAAAAATCAAACTTTAAAAACTAAACAAAAATGATTTATGCTAAAGTCCACAACACTAAATATAACATACACATATTTGGTATTCTAAGAATTCATATTAGAATTAACCAATGATAAGTGCAAATAAATCAGCCATTTTCTACCATTAACTGGTGTTCCTTTTTTGTTGTTATTTTGAAACCCAAAAATTCACTGGCAAAGAAATCTGGTTAGTTTCAGTTTCTCCTCCACCCAGAAACTAAGATTAGAGGCATAAGTTCTCAGAAAGCATTGCACAATGATTTAGTAACTAAACTACTTCACAGAAGAAACCACAATTCCCTAGAACAGAGGTCACTTAAAAACTAAACATGATATGGCACAGCTTTAAAAGAACATCTGTGAAAAACAGAGGACTCTGCAAATACATTTCTCTCTCCTCATTCCTATGGCTTCATGAAAACAACAGAAGATATCTTAAATAAGTAAATGAAAATGAAAACATAGTTGGGGGTGTGAAGGAGGATGTTAGGTGACAAGCAGCTCCAGTCAGCCCTCTACCCCACAGAAAGCTTTCCCGACCTGCAACTGCGATGAAGCCCGCCTGTCAGGATGCCTCCCCCCTCACCCAGCACACACACCCTGCAGGCTGCCTTCAACTTGCCACCTCCTTATCCTTCCAGGGAGGCAGGGTTTCCAGGGAAACACACCCAAAAATTTCAGTAAATGCACACTAACCATCTACTAAGTACTAATCAGTCTAGTCCTTCATTCATAAACCATCCAAGGATCAGGAAATAAATTAAGGAAAAGAAAAGCAAGAAAATGAATCGACTAACTCCAAAAGAAACATAAATAATTCAGAGAAGGGGTTATTCTTTAAAAAATAAAATCTCAGTATTTGTAAGTGTGGTTCAGGAAGTGGCAGATAAAACAAGTACAAGTTACAGGTAAAAAACAGAGAACAAGAAAGAGTCTTTAAATAATAAAACTTGAGTTTCCAAATTCAAAAATGCAACAGACTATGTGAATTATAAAAAGAAAAGCTAGGAACCAGTTAAAGAACTGGGAAGAAAAAAGAGATACAGAACATTAGGGAAAAGTAGAAAGACATGTTATAAATTCAGGAAGCTTATCCATTTAATATAGTGGCAAAGAGACCAGAAGGGAACAAATGATAGAAGATGATTTCCCCAAGCCAAAAAACTTAGATTGAAAGGAGCCAAAAAGTGCCAAGCCAGGTGAGTGGATAAAGACACACCCATACCTAGGAACTTCGCAGGGAACTGTCCCAACTCCAAGGACAGAGAAAATACTAGGAGGGAAAATAAACAAGACATGAAAATAAATGGACATGAGACGTCAAATCAGCAGCAAATGGGAGCTTGAGCACAATGAAATAATTGCTTACAGTTGTGAGGAGCAAGATTTTATAGCATATTTCATAAACCTAAGATACCATGGCTTGTCAGACACACCAGAAAAGGCTGCCTCTAACCTTGACATGCCAGTGATTGTGAAACACATTCCAATTTCAAAGATATTAAAATACGGGGGGAAAGTGCAACTTAGAATTAAAGAACAATGCCTATATTCAGACAAATTATCAACCAACAAGAGAGACCCACAGAGAGCGTCAGCCACTCAAGCCATATGCAAGTGCAAGAACAGAAAGAGCACATATGTGCTGGGGCTAAAGTCTAGATAAAGTCTAAAAGTACATGCACACATACATACACAGGTATACATTCATGTGCATGTACATGTCTCATTAAACTGGAGTGCATAAAGAATATCCCATTCAAAGAGCCAAGTTTTGGGGACATTTGGTGATTCTTTTCTATAGGTCCAGCTACACTACTAGTTAGGAAAAGTTTCACAATTACATAATCATATACCATGTAAATGCCATTTACTAGTTTTCAGTTTTTAGACTCAACTCTATAGATGCAGCACAGGAAACTTAGAGGAAAGGAGCAGAATGTAAACGACACAAATAACATTCCTAGACAAAATACAACAACAAGGCTGACTTGCTCCACTCCATCTTACACAGCAGTCAGTCGATCGCTGTTGTCCCAAACCGACAGAGCAACAAGTAGAGATAAATGCGTATTTTAAATTGTTGGCTCTGCTTCCTTCTGAAGAGTAGGCTTGCTCTTCATCTCCTGTTCTGTCTGAATTTTGTTCTTTTCCACTGCACGCATGCATGGAAAAAACAAATCACCCACACTGTCCAAAGGTGGAGCTGGTGAAGTTCCCAAATTGTCTTAGACAGACCAAATAAAAGTTATCTTATTCTACCTTTCAAATAAAGTGAACAGGTTTTCCAAAGACTGGGGGGTCTCACTTCCATGTGCATTTACCAAGAAAAGAGAAACTGATTTAGACGTAATGCCACAGAACCAGTTTCCCACCGCCATCCCCCAAAAAGTTAGCTCACTGGAAGCTATACCTGACAGGTCCTTAGAGCACTCAGCCAGCGTTTTCAAGTGACTGCTGATTTTCTCAACGGCTTTGAAGTTCTTATTCCTCTTCAGGATGTCCGTGGCCGAGCGGGACTGTCGATCCAGCAGGGTGGGGTCTGCCCCAAAGCTCAGGAGCATCTGCACATCCTCCGTTTGTCCTAGGGCAGGCCAAAATGAGGAGGGGGCGTTGTCGTGGCTCCTCCCATAAGGAGATGTCCCCGTGAGTGCTCTTCCTCCTAGTTCCCTGCCCAAGCCGCTCAGGGCACGGGGACCAGGGTCCCTCTGCTTGCAGAACCTCACCTGCCTGCCTTGGTCAATCCACCCAACTCCCGGAAACAAGAAGTCCTGTGTGCCCTGTGTGGAGTGGGAAGGACAATAGCTCTAAGAGGTTCAGAAGTGTGTCCCTCTCTACTTTTTCCCCTCTCCTTGGCAACAAGCAAGGAGAGGGGAATCTGGTTACCAGGCAACTGTACAGCTGTAAGGATGACACAAGCTGTGACTTCAGGTTTCTTCATTCCCTAGAGAGGAAATGGAATATTCTTGCAGGGAAAAAAGCCTGTCTGGGGACAGAGGAAGAAAGTGGCAATTGCTTTCACATCAGGGTCTTTCTGTTGTCACTGTTTCCACCCTTCCAATTCCAACCCTCTGGCCACCAGCTCCATTTGCTGCTTTGACGTATCTATTTCCCAAGCATCAGAGTGTCTCTGTGATCACAGATGCAATAGCTTTCAGAATGGAGCAGGTGTACCCCGGGGGTACAGGGACTTCTGTGGGCATGGAGTGGTAAATGAATCAGAGCCTGAGCCCAGCATCCATAGCCATGCCCTCCTGAAATGCACCACCTTGACAAGGTACTGAGGCTCATGCTATCCTCCCTCCCAGCTCCCAGTCACAACCGTCTTCACCCACTTTACAAAAATAAGACAAAGTAAACAGGTCATACTTCTTACCCATCGTATCTCACTGTTGTGGACGGAATTCTAAAATAGCCCCCAGATTCCCAACCCCTGACACACACCTCCCAGCAATTCAATCAAATACCAATCTAAATGCTGCTGTGACGATATTTTGCAAATGTAATTAAGGTCCCAAAGTAGTTGACCTTAAGATAGGGAGATTATTCTGACTGAATCACATGAACCCTAAAGGTCAAGGGTGAGAGGTCAGACATGGTAAAGGGCAGAGATTCAAAGTATGAGAGGAATTTGATACACAAGAAATTCTCCTTGGCTGGCATTGATGAGAGGGGCCACATGACAAGGAATGTGTGTGACCTACAGAAGCTGACAGCAGCCTCTGGCTGGCAGCCAGCAAGGAAACAGGGATCTCAGCCCTACAATCTCAAGGAACTGGATTCCACCACAACCATGTGAGCTAGAAAGAAGGCCCAGAACTCCAGAAGAGAATGCAGCCCCAGCCAATACCTTGATTTTGAGCTGGGGAGACACTGAGCAGAAAACCTAGTGACATCACACCAGATTACTAACACACAGGACTGGGAGCTAGTAAGTGAGTGTTGTTTCAAGCCTCTAAGTTCATGGTGATTCGTTACACGGCACAGAGAACTAATGCAATTAGTGTATTGGCCCAAAGGAGGCAAAAACTCCTGCTCTCCAGAGCATAACCTAAGGAAAATTAGGTGTCTGATTTAAAAGTGCCAAGCTCCTTTAAAAAGGTACTCCATCCACCCTTCTCATATCTCCCTCCAAATCTTTAATAATTACTTACAGAAATACCTGTACATGTTTTCATTTCTATACTGAGGAGTAATATTGCTGGGCCACACAGCAACTCTGTTTAACTTTTTGAGTAACTGCCAGATGTTTTTCCAAAGCAGATGCACCATTTTTCACCCCATTAGCAGTGTATTAGGGTTCCAATTTTTCCACTTGCTTGTCAATATTTGTTAGTGTCTTTTAATTTTGTTCATCATGGTGTGAAATGCACTTTCAACTTTTAAAGTAGGTATTTAAAAGGTGATTCAAAGAAGCCTATATGAATAGCAAGAGACCAGCAGAATAGAACAGAAAGGTCAGAATTAGTGGCACCTCAAATCCCTGAGGTCACAGTAAACTTTTAAATAAATGTTTCTGAGACAAATAGATAGCCATTTGGAAAAAGATAAAGTTATATCCTTACATTAAACTCCAGTGGATCAGGGATCTAAATGTCCAAAAGGGAAACCATACAGGCATTAGAAGAAATATGGGTGAATTCCTCTTTAACATTGCTATAGGGAAAAGTTTTCTAACTCTGACTCCAAATATAGGAGCAATAAAACAACAGGTTGATAAGTCTGATTACATAAAAACAAACATTTGCATAACAAGAAAGACCAAAATCAGAGGACAACTGACAAGCTAGGAGAAAATATTTATAACAAATACCACAGACAAAAGCTAATGAGAAAAGAATTCTTAAAAACTGGGAACAAAGCACCAAAAACTCCATGGAAGAATGGGAAGGAGACATGAACATATAAAATAAAAAAGATATATAAAAATGGTCTTCAAATGTATTTTTAATAGTTCCAACTCACACATAATTAGAGACATGCAAATTAAAACAATCCTGAGATACCAATTCTCACCTCTCAGGCCAGAAGAAATTTTAATACATGACAACAGATTCTGCTGGTAAGGAGATGGAGAGAGGCCCTCTCACATACTGCTGGTGGCTGTGCAAACTGGGAAAATTCTTCTGGATGAAAATCTGACAATATCTAACAAAACTGCATAAGCATTTGTGCATAAGAACTGATACAGAGTGACTTGAGGACATACTGTTAACAAAAAAGGCCAAGAACCAAACACTATATATAGACACTGTTACTCTCCATATAAAGAAGAAAATACACATGTATCTGCTGTTGCTGCAAAAGAAATCCAGAAAGAATAAGCCTGAAATGAAAAAAATTGATCCCTTACAGGGAGTGGATGGAAAAGGGGCAGAAGGAAGGGAAAATGGTAACTGGAGGGGGAGGGGGAGCTGGGATGAAGAGGAAGTGACATTTCTCTGAGTACATCTTTTTATAACGTTTAGACTCTGAGCACCATTGGTACTCTGCATGCCAATATGTAAATAAACCAGTCCAGATATGGGGAGAAACCTAGATGAAAGGCAAACACTAAAAAAATGTACCTAAGTGTACTACAAATAAGTAACATAATGGTATGAGGAAGAAAAGCATTTAATATCTTGACTATATTCTATAGTCAAGGATTCTATAAAGCTGAAAACACCAAGAACTGAACACAAATGAACATAAGAATAAACATAAACCTAATGAGTAAATGCGCTTCTCGCACAGGGGTATGGGCTAACAAGTACAGAGCTCATAGTACTGAACAAGTAAACATATTATATGGTAGATGAGAGATATTACAGATTAGAAAGGACAAATGACCATGGTGTTGGACTGGAATCAGAGAAGTCAATCTAAACTCATAGTTTTAATACAGATCTATGCACACACTTACAGTGATAGATGTGTATATCCACAGGCTCGCACACATGCAACGATATTCCAGAAGCAATGATCACACCTAATACCAGATCTTTCTCCAACGAAAGGAATCAGGGGCCCTTGGAGAAAAGGTTAATTCCAGGGCTAGGACACAGAAAACTCAGCCTAAGCCTGGAGTATCTTGTGCTGCCTGAAAATAAAGAGGTGTCCAAAAAAAAGGATGGGAGCTTATGGAAGGAGCACAGGAGCCCACCTGAAGGAGCCTTAATGGCCAAAACTGGGACAAGTTGAGCAAGAAAATAACTGGCAACAGTACTGGATTTTATCCCATAGAATAAATATCCATGAGCCCATTCAGAAGTACATACATACATGGGGAGAAGGGAGAGCTCTTCACGACAAAAGAATTTCAAGTAATAAATGAAGAAAACAAAATTTAAAAATCAACCTTAATCAAAGACTACACTAATAACTTGCTGACAAGATCCACCAATGGACGCCAAAACTGGTAGGCAAAAGTTTGAGGAGAAACAGGGTATACCTGCAATGGCATATCTTCCCCATCCCTTTACCATTATGTCAGAGTCTCTCCTCCAAGACATTTATCAACTCCAGAGGGAAAGGCAGAAACTTTAGAGTGTAGAAAACCCACAGATTACATCTTAACCAAATAAGGACAACATCATAGGACATACTGACATCATGAACTTCTTGATATGGTGCCAGAGAAGAGCATAAAATTGTTCTCAAGTATTCTTAGTAAAAACGCATAACTTCATTCCAATCATGAGAAAACATCAAATAAACCAACCTGATAGACAGTCCACAAAATAACTGACCAACACTCTTCAAAACAGACCATGTCTGTTTGGTTCACAATTTATGTCTGGTGGCAAGCAGAGTCGGCATGAAATAAAGCACTTAGCCTGATGAGGGGAGGACATGTGCAGACAGAAGCCCCCCTCCTTGGACACGCAACCCCACTGAGGCCACTTCAGCCAAAGGTACACAGAGCCAGCACTGCCCTCCTCCCGCAAGCAGTCTTCCCTCCCAACCATGTGTTCCATTCAAGGCAGAGTCTAGTGCTCTGAGCCTGTCACAAGACGGAATGGGTAAGACGTGCTCAGCTGCGTGGGTTCTGAGAGGCCACCCAGCCCGCAGCACACCCTCCCGCCTGGTGCCACTGCTCACGCTGCATGAGGCATTCTGGGTACTGGGTGGCCGCGACGACGTGCAGGACGGTGCAGCCATCCCCGTCCTTCTGGTTGATGCGGCCTTTCCACTCCGGTTTGTGGTCCATCAGCCATCTGAAAAGATGGTTTTCCCCTGAAGGGAATTAAAACGAGTCACTGACACGGGATTCTACGTACAGAAAATCAATAAAGCAAATCAATGTGTACCACACTGAGGAGGCCAAATGGGGACTCCAGCGCAGGATGCCGCGCACCACAGGGTGGGAGACATGGTTTGTACATTGAAAGAATGAGTCATAGGGAGTTATTCATAACAGCATTAAGTCGAACCCCCTAGAAGCAGAGGCTGAGACAAGGATTCTTGTACCTGTACTTCTGAGAGGGAGCTCAGAAGAAAGAGAGGAAAAGGGCGGCAGGACAGGGCAAAGGAAGGAGGCGAACGGAGATGTGCTCTCAGCTGAGTCTGCTTTAACCCGATCCCACAGGGAGTTCTAGCTGAGCTCCTGCACCCTCACGTGTCAGTCAAGAGCTATGGAATGCCCCAGAGAGGGAGGTGAGCTTGAGGGAGGAGCTCCCTGGGAAGTGGTGCCTGTGGGCAAGGAGGTTCTGCAGGAAGGGCCTGGCACAGGTTAAAAAGGACCTGGGTGGGGCAGCACAGTGCCCATCAGCAATCAAGTCAGTACATCTGATTAGATGACCCTACCACATTACCACCACCACTACAACATGTATCTTAAATTCCTTTCCCAGACTCTTCCCCGGCTCCTGCAAGGGAGGAAGCCACATACTTCTGCCAGCTCTGTGAATGCCGTTTGTCACTGTGTCAGAGCTTTCTTCTGAGAAACGAATCAGGGATAAACTTGAAGACCTGACTTTATCAACGCCTTCCTTTAACCAAAGGCGCTAACTTAGAGAGCAGATACCATGGGCAATCACGGCTTTCCTAACCAGAAGCACACTTCTCTGGGTTCTAGACTGCTATTGAACCTGGGAGGATGGATGAGTGTGGATAAAGTGAAGGTTCCTGTGGCCCGGATTCTCACCTGGCCCTGGTCAGCTAGCTCACTACATATGTGTGGGCAATACATTGCTATTGACTCTATATAAAGAGCTCTGCCCAGTGCTCTGGCCAACATGGTGGCACGGCTGCAAGGCTGCAGGAGAGCACAGACTTGAGTGGTGGCAGCACTGAGGATAGAGACTGAGACAGCTGCAAAGGCGGAGAGGCCCAGGGGCAGGGACCGGCTTGTTGCGTGCATGCATGCAGACTCGCTCTGAGCAGAGGGGATTCTGGTGCTTGGCCTGCCACCGTGGGAATAGAGTTGGGTGTGGACCCTTTCACCCCAAGAATGTTCCATTGTCATTTTTGGTCTCACTTGCCCAGGGCCGAAACCCATTGGGAAGACAATGAGATTGCTTTTAATCAGACTTTACTTCTGAATGTTTCATCCAATATTCTTTGTGTAAAGAATAAAATCTCCTATGGATTCCCCAGTATGTGAAATGGATGGCAGGGCAAATCCAGCTAAAGCAGAGATGGTGCCCCAGGTCTCTGAGTCCCCAGCCATGCCCCCTCCTTCATTCCCAGGGTGATGACACAGTCTAGAAAATGAAGAGTGTCTGGACAAGTTCTCCAGACCTTTTCCTGCTCTAAAATGGTGTAGGCAAATGTCTAACAGTGATCTCTTCTACTAGGAAAGGAAAAACAAAGTTCTGCCTAAAGTGCATGTGTGTGTTTTAAAGATAAAATTTATTTTAAAATTTGTATCCCAAAGCCAGTGGTGAAGACAATAAAAAAAAAAAGAATTTTACAAAAACAGGAGTCCTGTAAAAGAACCACAGCTAACTGGAACAGCAATAGCCAATGGTGTCCTGGGAATCCCCACCATGACCACCATGGGGCTAGAGAGAAAATGAATGTGAACTGGGGGGAGGAAACTCTGTGGCCTGTGGGGGTCCACCCAGCTAAGGCTCTCTGTCCCAAGTTCCCTCTTGGGTCTCACGTCCACTCTGCTGCCAGGATTTGTCTAGGAAAACAGAACCCTTTCAATGTGGGCCTCCTCAAGCTATGCAGTCCCAGGAGAAATAAAAATGCTTTCCCTGCCACCTTCATTCACTTGAATATCCAATCACTTGAATATTCTAACTGCATGTGGCTAAATTCTGGTTTCTCTTGAGCTCAACCGAGCACCCAAACCCAGGAAGGGCAGCTGTTTGGGGGCGTAACTGGGGGACACTTACCCGCCTGGATGCAGAGCCGCATGAGGGCGTGAAGAGGGTACCGTCCTATGGTCTCAACACTCGCACCCAGAGAGATGAGCCACTGGACTAACATAGGCATCTGCTCCATTTCCTCATAAAGTCCAATGAAGGCATATTTCTGAAAAGAAAAAAATGCACACACAGGAGGAATCATGGAAGTCACTACATCAATATGAAACTTCAATCACCTTTACCCATAAAGTTTGGAATCAGTAAAAACCTGTATTAGCTGTGGCCCAAGCTACAATTCTCATAAAGAAACAAGTTTGCAGAAATCTGTAGCATTTCTGTATACTATATATGCATTTCTATATATGCATCTCTATATAAAAATGAACTATCAGAAAGAAAAATTAAGAAAACAATTCCATTTACAATTACACCAAAAAGAATAAAATACATAAAAAATGTAACCAAGGAAGAGAAAGACTGATAAAAGAAATTGAAGATGACATAAATAAATGAAAAAATATGCTGTGTTCATGGACTGCAAGAATGAATATTGTTAAAATATTTATACTACCCAGAGCAACCTACAGATTCAATACAATCCCTATCAAATGCCAACAGCATTTTTTATAGACATAGAACAAAGAATCCTAAAATTTGTATGGAATCACAAAAGACCTCAAGTAGCCAAAGCAATCCTGAGAAGGAAAAATAAAGCAGGGGGATTACGCTCCCCAACTTCAAACTCTACTACAAAGCTATAATAATCAAAGCAGTATAGTACCAGCACCAAAAAAAAAAAGCACATAGATCAAGGGAACAGAAGAGAGATCAGAAATAAACCCACACTTACATGGCCAATTACTCTACAACAAAGGAGGCAAGAATATACAATGAGGAAAAGACAGTCTTTTCAGTAGTGTTGGGAAATCTAGACAGCTATTTGCAAAAGAATGAAACTGGATCATTTTCTTACACCATACATAAAAATAAACTCAAAATGGAAAAAAAAAGAAACAAGTTTGTGGTGAAGCACCTGAAGTTCCCTCATACAAGCTGAGGTCCCAATACAAGCCTGAAGGGGCCTGACTTAAAACCGTATGTTTCAAGAAGCCGCCTTACCTCAAAGAGACTTTTCAGTGACAAGTCTGGGACATGGATATTTCCTGGTAGTCGGTCTTTCTTCATTGACAGAAGTAGAAATGACTGATGGGGGGAGAAAGAAACAATTGAAATAACAATGCTCCACACATAGGTTCTGAGAGCCAAAGCTATCTTAAGTTCAGAGCAAACCAAAAAAACAAAACAAAACACTGTCTTTTTTTAAGTCATCTGCCAAGCTTTTCATCCTGGACCCTGATAACCAGAACCCCTCTGCTCAGCCAGCTTCTGGTTCCTGCTGAGGCTCAGCTGGCTCCGCATGCCTGCACCCGTGGAGGATGGGCACGGCCCCAGCCAAGCAATGCTGCAGAGGTGACGGTAGCTGTGGGGTGTGGGGTAAAAAAGTAACTACCTGTAAAGTTCTTCAAGCTTAGCAAGCAGAAGAATAAACTCCTTAGAAAGATCCCATGCCAATTAATTCTTTAGCACATTCATGTTTCATAAGCCCCAAGCATCTAGGGCCCATTAAAGTGGAGGGGGGAGCCGGCTCCTCTTGCTGTGAGAGTTGATGTGCCCATCTCTTCCCAACCCCAAGCCTGGGGGTCACATAGGAGCCTGAACTAGGCCACGGTGAGAACTACAGAGGTTGGCAAACACTACACATCAGGACTTTGTTCTTAGAGGACCAGCTGTGAGACTACTGACCCTATCTAAAGTCACTGGACAAACTCAAACCCAGAGAAGTCAAGCAACTTTCCCTAGGTCACACAGCTCATTCCCAGAGGCCCCTGTGGAGACCATCCACAGATTCCAGGACTAACACAGCCCAGGCTCAGTGTAACTTCCTGCAGGTCTGCTCTCACCAGTGGCTGTGACGCAGGAGTGCAGCCCATGGCCACATCTTGCTTCCAGTTTCTTTCAGGCTGATGCCCACCCTTCACAGCTCACCCTAAACAGACCCCACTTGCCCACGCTCAATCCCAGATGACAAGTTCTGACAGTCCTGCTGTCTGGCCTGGCTTTTTTTCAACAAGATGCTTCTGTCTCCACTATCAGAGAATATCCTGGCCTGGCTGCTGACAGTATGTCAGGCCTGCCACCCGGCTCGATTCCTGGGCCTTCCCTTGGCTGCCTGCCTTCTTCAGACATGTCAACATGGGAGTAAGCTTCAGGGGATTCATGGCTGGACCACAGGGGATTTCTGTGAACCCTGTGACACTATCCCCATAACTGTGTGTATGTGAAGAGAATCTCATCAACTTCATTACACTTCCAATGGAATCCACAACCTTTCCAAACACTGGAGAATTCCTTGTTCTAAAGTCCTTTGGCCTGCCTGGCTCTAGAGTCTTCATCGGTTGTCCCAGTAGAAAGCCCGGCAGGCCCTTTCTCACAAACTCCCAGCCTTGGCCAGCCTGTTCCCATGAGCACACAGAGGCCACCATCAATGACAACCGCTTTTCATTGGGCCCCAGCATATGCCAGGTATTATAAACCTCCTTTAGCTCCTGCCTGGCCTGCTATAAGCCCTCAGCAAACATTAGGTGCTCCCGGCCCATTATTTCTAATCCTCACCAAAACCTGAGGGAGTAAGTTTATATCCTGCCACTCATAAATGAGGAAATGAGGTTCAGAGGGGAAGTGATTAACCCAAAACAGAAACCAGGAGATTAGGATTCAAGGAGGATCTATGTGACACACCCAGGCTGCACGGTCCACTGTGCCTCTCCGCTCTGTGGACTCCTGGCCCTGCGTCTGGCCCCCACGACCCCACTGCTGCCTGCAGGCCATGTCCCCGAATGCTACCCAGAAGCCCTCTGAGCAGCCCAGGCAGGGCATCTGGCACATCAGTACAGCCCAGGCAGGGCACCAGCACATCAGTACAGAAAAGGGTTATGAAGGTGAATGTGAGGTGCTTATCTTCCTCATCACACATTACCATTCACACCTGGGCTTCCATTTCTTTGCTAACAATGGAGATACAGAGCAGGAGTGAAGGTGCCACAGACTGAGTATGCATCCTCTTTCAAAAAGGTGGAGACTGATTAATCAACATAGCTCAGTGACATTCCATCTTTAATAATGTTTTAGTTAAAGGTTATTTAAGCATCAAGATGAACAAATAAGAAAATACAATTACCCAGCGCCAACAAAAAGAAACCATTTCATCTAGGAATGTACTTGCCCTACAGGAGAGCCATCTCCTTATACTTACATGCCATAATCCTTTCTTTCCCAACTTTTCTATTACAGATTGCCACACTTCCATCGAGAATCCAGTAGTGAAAATATGATCAAAACAGGGCAAGAAACTTTGCAAAACAATGGGGTCATCTGAAAGAAAGTTCCACAGTTTAGAAAGTTTAATTTGGGGAATGTCTGGAACATTTGGGGAAAGGTCCTCCATTTAAGATCACACATAGACAAATGGTAAATTGAAGGTATCAAAAAGAAAGGCATTTTCGAGGCACAAAGTTCTACACCACTGACAAAGCGGCAATCATTTGAAGCTCCCCCATAAAATCAGTCCTGAAGAGTTAGGCAGTGTCATGTGAGCCGGCGCTCACTCAGCTTCCCTATTTGCCAAGCCCCGTGTTGCTCACACCTAATCCCTCAACCACACCAATATGGCAGTGCCTCTTATCTCCACTTACAAGGAGGGAAGGGAAGTTACAAAATTCACTTCCTTTAAAAAAGGTGTGACATATGTTTTCACCCAACAGATAAAGAACCATGATAAATGAGGTCAGGCTTCCTGGCGTGTTGTATGGCTAGTTCATGACAGTAACCAAGATGGGGCCCAACAACAGTCCATCTCTTCCAGTCAAGACACACTCTTCTAACCTGGTGGCCCTCCCACCAGTGGCCTCTCAAGATCCACCAAACCACATGTCTCAAACTCATGGATGAGAACATCCCAGGGGACAGCTCAGGGGCCAGAATGACAAGGCACCTCGCCAGGGTCATCAATTTCCAAAAATAAGTAAATATCAAAAAGAATATATATTGTGTGAAAAGATTTAAAAATTCCATAAATTTTTCAAAATGCAGCAATCGGGTCATGGGCATACATGCACCTTCCAAATAGTACTTCGGTTGAAAAGTATGGGATGGATTGCCTAAGAAGTCCAGTCACCTGCCTGCTCCCAGGATGGGGCAGAATGGAAACCATCCCGATTTCTCAAAGGGGCAGGCACCAGGAAGCAGCCGTTTGGAATTCCCAGAGCTCGGGCCCGGCTTCTGGTGGGACGGTGATTTCTTAGGAGCAGACAGTGAGGAAGAGCAGGGTTGGGCCCAGCCACGGGTTCAGAGGAAACGGAAGTGGGCTGCACTGTCAGCAAAAGGCTGGCTGGGCAGTTGTGTCCAGCAGCAGCTGTCCAGAGACTCCACTCTCTGTCGAGGGGACACAGCTGTGCCCACCTCAAGCCCCTCCCCACTCACTGCCTGGGACTGCTCCCGGTGCCAAAACCTGTCAGATTTCACTCACAGACCACAGCGGTTGCTTCCCCATCCCAGCAGTGGGAATAGGATCTACAACAGCTGAATCTACTGTCGGTGGTGATTTCCCCACTGGGCAAAGCCAAAGACCATTTTTCAGCAATTCTAACACATGCCATTTTTCATATTCTAACATCTCCAGTATTGGGATGTTGTCTCTCAATGATAGAGAATAAATCAACAGCACATCTTAGGTCAGTGCCATCTTATATTTGATGAAGCAGTATTTGAACACAGTGGTCTGGTGACCGGTGGAACCTCAGGCTGTGCTTAGACAACCAGAGAGAGAGACAGCACGTTTGTCACTGGCAAGGCTAATACACCGGTGTCCTGGGGTTCTGCTTTTGCCTATGCCAGACCACTGACAAAGCCACATCACAGGCCAGGTCCTTAAAAAAGTAATACTCTAACACAGTGATGCCAAAAGTCCATGGCCCCACCCCTAGGCTGAGTGTGCAGGCCCCTGGTGCACTGAGCATCGTGGCTGCAACACTGAGCTCCCACTGTCCCCCTTCACAGGTCCCTCCATCGGCCCTTTCAGGTTATTCTTATAACAAGTAAGAATATTTCCTCAATATGCTGGAGAAATCCATGCAAAAATCAAGAAAAGAGCAAAAATCACATGAAACAAGTAGTGTAAGTAGGGAAAGCTCTATGAATAGCAACACAGGAAACACAGAAGTCTGAAGCAAGATTGGGAGCACTTCAGCGATGTGTGCAAAAGGACTTGGCTGTTTTTACACAGGCACGAACCCCCAAAGCTTCCAAATTTGCTTTCTAATGTGAAAACCAGCATCATTCGAACTACAAAAATTAGCCACAAAGAAACACTCTGGAATGATCTCCCCAGAAGCCTGAGTCCCCAGGAGTCATGTAAATAAAATAACAAGGTCTTGAAAAATAGTAATAAGGAAGAAAGAAGGCACGCATCCCCCAGTTCCGACTTACTGCCCACAGTGGTGAAGATTCCCACGAGGAAATCAGCGACCTGGGTCTGGTCCTGGCTGTCCTGCAGAAGTTGAAGACCTTCAAAAAACATGTGAGCGGCCTCATAAGGCTGGAGCAACCGCAGCAAGGAATAGCCAGCTCGATAGTACCCCTGGAAAAGGAAAAGGCAAGACTGTAGCACCCCCATCTCTTTTCACCTGCTGCTAAAAGCCAGACTGACCGCACAGGAAATGGCCTCCAAGCACCTCATTTCCATGTCAACACAGATTTCTGACAAGCACTCGAGGCAGCATTTCCACATTACATTCTGTGCCACATTTTCCTTTCATTTTTAACTGCCAAGAAAATAATCCCTTTCAAGCCAACAGCATCTAACATGACACACAGAGGTGTCGAACCTGGTTCCCACCACATGTGCGGTTTATTTACAGATGCCTCGAGTTGCAGCCTGGGCAGAAGAGAGGAATGAAAAATCCTGCCACCTCAGTGTTCCGGACAGAATGAGGTCCTCACATAAACATGGAGAGGGTTCTCCACTCCTTTCATCAAAACAAACACAATTTCCACTGGGCATGTAGGGGGAAATTGTGATAACAAGCACTGATAGTTATCAAGCTCCACATTATGGGCAATATACACCAGGGGCAAAAATAAATGTATTTCTGTAGAAAGAAGAAGATTACAATGATTATGGAGGAAAATGGTTTAGTTTTGCCTGTATGCAAACTGTACAACCCTGAGTAGGGACAAAACGATACTTAAGTGCCTCCCCCACTTTGATCACCCGAATGCATCGGCATCAAGATCTACCAAAAGCAATATTCTGAAACACTAAAAGGTGTTCACCAACTGGGTTCATTTGAAAGTCCACTTAACATCAAACCCCTGATTATTTATTGATTTGTATTAACCTTTATTTGAAAGTCTAAAACCTTAGGTGATCAGAAAAGGTGAGGGAGAAGTGTGATTTCTTTCCCAACCAGGCAAGCTGACAGACAATTCTCCATACCTTTGCCTTCCTCGGAATTCAGTTTCTGCCATCTTGCATTTTGGAGGGGATGAGGGGGGCAGAACGTGCCAACCGAAAATGTGACGCTTTGGTATAGGGATTATTTTGAGCTGAAGGTGACTGAGATTCAGCAGATGGACCTCCCCCTGCCTGACTGAAAGCAAACACCCTTGAGGACTGCCATAAATCCCTCTCCTGGAGATGTCCCCGGCCATGCAGCAGACAGAATAGGCGGCCTGGGACAGACCCGCACAACCGGCTCCTTCTCAGATAGTCCTACCGTCCCTCGGTTTACCCACTTCACCGGCCCGCAGTTCGCAGCCCCTAGATACCTAAGGCATTTCTTTGTCTTGTCACATCTCTGCAATGAATCACTCTTTGTTTAAAATGGAATATAAGCTCTCAGGCCTACCTGCTTCTTTAGGGTCTTCATTTTTTTAGGAAGGCCCCTGTGACACATAAAACTTCACATCAAGTAACAGTTGTATGCTTTCTAATTTGCAGGGCCCCAGCCACTGAACCTAGAAAAGGTGGATAAAAAAGGTTTTCTTCCTCCCCTACGGGGGACATTTGCAGGAGGGATGGGCAGAGGGAAGAATGGCAAAGGAGAGAGACCCCCAGGTGCTTGGATAGGGATGGGGGTGTGGGCGAAGGAGAGAGACCCCCAGGTGCTTGGATAGGGATGGGGGTGTGGGAGAAGGAGAGAGACCCCCAGGTGCTTGGATAGGGATGGCGGTGTGGGCGAAGGAGAGAGATGCCCAGGTGCTTGGGTAGGGATGGGAGTGTGGGCGAAGGAGAGAGACCCCCAGGTGCTTGGGTAGGGATGGGAGTATGGTCCGGGGTGCTGCACTGTCTGGGGCAGCTGCAGGTTAGGCCACTCAGAAAAGAGCCCGAGCATCATGCAAGACCCCCACAGCCCCTCTGGCTGCAGCCACAGCTGCCACCTCAGGGGTGTGGGCAAAGCCCAAGGACCCCCACCGCATTCCAGCTCCATGATGGGAAATCCTCAAGAGTGTGTGCAGAGTGAGCACTCAGAGCATTTGTGCTGAAAAAACAATCAAACGATCATTTATTGACCTTTGGGAGGACCTTAAAGGGTCTTCACAGGTCTCTCATGCCTCCCTGACCCCTCCAAAGGGGCTGGTTTCTACACTTAGAAATGCTTTCTGAAGAATCAGTGTCATGCTGTCCAGACAGCTTGCATTCGACATAAGGCTTTGCTAGAATGAAACTTGCAAACAGAAAAGAACATAAACAGACTGTGAGTTCTGGTGTAACTACATCAGAAGAAAATGAGCTCCACAGAGATCCCAATGGGGACCTGACCCGACGTGACCCCCCCAGCACTCCCTCCCCCAGAAGGCCTGGCTCTGCTCTCCCCTACGGGGGCTCTTTGCACAGCCAACTCTTGGCCATCACTGTTCTTACTCTTCTCCCACTCCCATGCCCTATGGGCATCGGCCTAAATCGCCAAGAGGTGAAGGAGAGGTACTCCTGGCATCTCCATTTTAAAAATAAGGGCTGGAAGGAGGCAGCAGCCTCCAGCTGTCACCACACCTTCACGTAGGTTGGGTCCCACCGGAGACATTCCTTGGCAGCCACGAAGGCCTCATCCCATTTCCCAAGGCCGCAAAATGCATTTGATTTGTTGCACAGCAGCACAGCCAAATCTCGGGGGGGGACCCTGTAAGACAGAGCAAACTGGGTTGGTAAAGCCATCTCTGCAAAAACAGAAAACCACCCTTGAAGGTCACCAATCTGCTGCCGGCTGCTGCCATCATGAAGGGGATTTCTGTAAGAAATGTCCCAATCATTGCTATCACATCTGACCTCCGGCCCCCGAGAAAGCCAGGGGTATCTGCAAAGTACAAACCTGTCCTTCCTGACTCCCAGATCCTCTGCTCCCACATCTTAATGACGAATGTTCACACCCTGGTTCCACCTCCAATTGGTCTCCACAGATCTGTTTATTTTCTGAGACCACTGGTGAAAGATGCTGCGAAAATGGTGGCTGGTGCTAAGAACCGAGAGGATGGGAGTTCCCACCAAATGAGCCTCAGCAGAGTCCAGACATGGTGTGAGCCACTCCACACGCTTGTGCATGCTGGATGGGTACAGAGCTCATCACAGGACATGCGACCACACCGTCCCCTAGGACCTACTGTGACCAGTGCGGGATGAGCACTCCTCCAGGAGATATGCAGGGCCACCCCAACATTTGCAGGACCCAGGGCCAGAGTACAAATGGAGGCCCACACATGACGTGGGTTATCGGCACCATCCAGTACAGTAGCCACTAGCCACATGTAACTCTTCAAATATAAATTAAATAAAATTTAAAATCCAGCCCCTTCACTGTACTAGCCACGTTTCAAGTACTCAATAGCCACATTCCATATTTTAAAACATTATCATTGTCGTCATCACAGAAAGTCCTATTGGACAGTATTAGTATAAGTATTTGAACCTTACAGAGTGTCAATAAAATATATTCTATTCTCCTCCTTTATAATAAACTGGAAGGCAAGCCTCAAATTTAGAACTGTAGTGTCAGAGCAGGTGAGCCAGGACTGTGCCCCTGCCCAGGGCCTCTATTTTCCACCTCGGCCTTCAGCTGGCACTGCAGAGACACAATTCCAAGCTCTGTCCACCCCAGCCTTGGTCAGCCCTTAGAAAATCAGCTACCGTGCTGGCCCTGGGAGCGGGGTCCACAGGCAGGCATTCCAGGCCCCGGTATCCATGGTGTGGACCAAAGGGGAAGCAAGGGCTCTGGGAGGGTAAGGCCTCTGGCCCTCCCACCTCCTGCCTGTGAGGAGGGTGCCCATGGGACTCCTTGAGGCCCCAGGAGGGCAGAAGAAGCAGTGGGGCAGTCAGGGGGTGGGCAAGGTGACTGCGAGTGTCACCCCCTAGACCCTGGTGTGGAGCATCTCAGCTGCAATGAGTGCTGGCTGCCACTGGGGCTCCTGGGGCCCTGCTCCCCAGAGGTCCTGCCTCAGCAGGATGGGAGCTACCTTCTCCCCGAAAGTTATGACCCTGCTGTGGGCTGAACTGTGCCCTCACATGCCACCCCCTGCCAAATTCAGATGTTGATGCCCTGGGCCCCAGTGTGATGGTATTTGGAGATGGGGTGTTTGGACAGGTGACTGGGTTCAGATGAGGTCACAAGGGCAGGGCCAGCAGGATGGGATTCATGTCCTTAAACAAAGAGATACTTAAGAGCTTCCTCTCTCTTTCCACCAGGTGAGGACACAGTGAGAAGGCGGCCGTCTGCAAACCAGGAAGTGGGCCTCACCAGGAACTGAACTGGCCAGCACGTTGGTCTGGGACTTCCCAGCCTCCAGAACTGTGATCAGTAAATTCCTGTTGTTATGCTGTTTGTTGTTAAACACCCAGATTAGGCTGTTTCGTTAAGGCACACTGAGCTGACTAACACAGCCCCACTCCCTAGGACAACCCTTAGGGGCCGAGGGCCTTCCACCAATGCTGGCTGACATGGAAATCAAAAGGCCAGCCCCTTGCCGCAAAGTGGGACCAACTCCATAGCAGCACAATTCCTGCTCCAAAGCTCCCTAGGGGGGTCAGGCTGAAGCGGACTCCAGCTGCACACCACGCCTGCTTGGAGTCCTTCCCTGCCCCCTCCTGCTGCCCTCAGACCCTTCTCCTGTAAGCACCTTCTCAGTACACCACAATCACCTAAATTTCCACATCAGCTGGCAGAGGCAGAAGGCAGGCAGCAGGTGATGTGCAGGAGGAACAGTGTCAGGAAGGTTCATAAAAGACAGAAGGGTCTCGGCAGAAGGCCCCTGAGGCAGCACACAGTTAGTTAGTAAGTGTTAGAGCTGAGATTTGAACACTCACAGTGTGGGGTCAGTCTACAGCCATAACCACCAACACGCCCCCTCTTTAAGAAAGTCAGGTATTTTGCCCTAAATGAGGAGCTCTAGGCACCTCTCTGACACAGCTCTGATCTGAGCCAGGAGGAGGAATGGTAGGCCCACAGCAGTGCTACTCAAGTCCAGCTGTAATGCAAACACCGAGGTGACAGGAGGTGGGAGGTGGGACCATGTTTCAGTGATGTAAAGTCAGTGCACTTCTCGGTACAGGTTTAGGCTGCATGCAGCCCACACACGCCAACCTCTGCTTCCTCTACTACAGCTGCTCCCAAGGTATGATCTAGGAACCTCTGGGGAGTCCCCAAGGCAACTCCCCATAGTCCCTGAGGTTGAAATGTTTCCACAGGTATAGTAAGCTGAATAATGGTCCCCAAATAATGTTATCTTTTATGGCAAAAGGGACTTTGTAGATGTGACTAATTTATGGATCTTGAGAAGAGATTACCCTGGATAATGATACAATCCCAAGGGTGCCTTATGAGAGGGAGACATTGCTACAGCAGAGGAGCAGGCGCTGTGATGACAGGCAGACCGGAACGGTGCACTCTGAGGTTGGACAAAGGGGCCACAAGCCAGCCACTCAGAGCTGACAGAACAGGGAAGCAGATTTTCCTTCACAAGGCACAGCCCTGCTGACACCTTGATTTTAGCCTTATAAGACCCATTTCAGGCTCTGGCCTCTGGAACTGCAAGATAATAAATTTGTATTGTTTTAAGCCACAAAGCTTGTGGTATTCTATTATAGCAGCAGGATGCTAACACAACAACCATACTAAGACACTATGTGGCTTCTTCCCACTCATCCTATCACATGTCTGCAGAACTTTCCAGAGGCCCCACCATGTGTGCAATCACAGTGCACCAAATGCAGAAGCAGACGTGAGAAGCCAGATGTCTTCTACTGAGACAGACATTAAAGAGATTTGCAAAAATGTAAAATGTGCCACTCTTCACACTAAATTTTTGGTTTGGGAAAACCTAAGTTATTTTTCATAAAGATGTGTTATGTTAACACATCATGGGTATGTTATTGATATTTTTAAATAGGTGAATGAATACATATTTTTAACTTTTCCCAGATGTAAGTTCTAATGGAGAGTACACTGACAGCTATAGCCCACATGAACGAAAGCTCTTGGGGTCCCTAATAATTTTTAAGCATGTCATGAAACTGAAATATTTGGGAACAAGTATGGCAGAAGCTGCAGGGACAGGTGAAGAGGTGAGGCTCCATTGCCAAGGGGTGTGCACTGCAGCCAGTGGGCAGATGGCATGGATCAGAAAGAAAATGAAATGACTGACAACAGAGGTTTGGGGATTTCAGTCCTCCCGGGAACTCTGGTCTCATAGCCAGACAAAAGGGCGGGGGGGTTGGGTAAAGTTTGTCAGCAGCCCCCTGTGTTTCACTTTCTATTTCCTGCATTACTCTGTGCAGTGTCTGAGCTGATAATGCAGAGAAGACAAATAGGAAGTGGGGGAGAAAGAAAACAGAAACTGGTGGTGTTGTAAGACAGGAGAAGAAAACATAAACAGCAGAATGAGTTCCCATTTACTTAAAAAGAAAGCAAAACAGACAGGGAGAAAATCCAAACACTTACCCCCACTGGTACAACTGCAGGAGAACCTGGATGGCTTCGTCGTACTTTCTGATGGCCAAGGAGAAGTTTCCATTCTGAAGGACCTGGTCGCCGGACCGTCTCAGCAGCTCACTGTAAGCTATGGGGTCCATCCTGCGAGGAGACGAGCAGAGGCTGGCTGCCCCGCCAGCACAGGCACGTCCCCCTCACTCCTGCTCTGCTCCGAGTCTGGAGAGGTAGTTTGCTCATGCTGGCCCCACCCACCTGCACAGGGCAGATCCTGACAACACCCCTCACCACCCAGGAGAGGGCAGGAGAAGGGGAGGTGCAGTTCTAAAGGCCTCAGTGTACAAGGGGCCAGGACACAGCACCACAAAATGCTGGCTCTCCAGCCTCTGCCTTCCCAAAACACTATAAAATAAGCCTGGAATGTTTGTACCTGAGATTCGTCCCTGAATTTGCCATCACCTGCTTACTTGTCTGTGCCCCCCAGGAAGCACTTGCTTCTTGCAGGTCGTAGCCCTGCAGCCTAGCACATAATGGTACTTAAATATCTGTGGTGTAAAGGATCTGAACGCAGAGAGGAGAGGCCTCCTCTTGACGATTCCCTCTGTTGTGGCCTGGGGAATGGCAGAGAAGTGGCTGTACCCCGCCCACCTGAGATCTCAGTAAGTATTTGCCAAGCAAAGATGGTGGACAGGAGCACAGCTTGGAGATAACTGCCAAGAAGGCCAGGAAAGGTGGGGATCAGAAGAGATTCCCCTTAGGGTTTCCTCCTCCCCAGTGGCAGTGGAAAAGGCAAGGTGGTGGGGGGAATCTAGGTGTTTGCACATTCAGGTACCTGTGGGGTTATCCATGCCATTGGGGGTCTTCTTGTCTAAGGCAATTCTTAGAGAGACAATAGTTTTTATTATTTCTATCATTTCAAATCTTGGGGAGGGTTTGGGACAGGCAAAGCAGACCACACAGATACAAGCAGTGCCTGTTTAAACCCACATGAGCTTACTGGGATGGGGATTTCAGAGGCACTGCATTCCTCAGGCAGAGCCATCAGAATGAGACACACGATTCCTAAGGGAGTCCAGGGTAAACTCCACCAGTGTGTCTCATTCAGCACTCGCTCAGGTCTGTGGCTCACATCTGCAGAGATGACTGAGGAGAACATGAAAAAAACTTTCAAGAATTGATTGACTACAGAAGAAAAACATGTCTCTTCCGAATAGTCAGCCTTATGTCCAATAAATGTCCCCTAAATTAGCCATTATCAGACAATTAGAAAAGGGAAATCACTCTAACAACTGATAAAGGGTTAATACTCCCTTTTATAAATACTTTTCCACTGCAAGAAAAGACCAACACCCTGACAAAATGTGTATGGTCCTAAATAGACAATTCACAAAGGTATGCAAGTAATTGCTAAATATATGGAGAGCAGATAAAACAGGACCACCCTCACTAGTGAGCAAAGAAATTAAGAAGTAAAACAACAATGTTTACTGGAAAAATACTTAAAAGAATGACCCCAACTGGTGGGGGCTGTCATATACTGTTCCCTGGGGAAAAATGCTACATCATGGATAGATTTAGCTTTATGGATGTTTGTCAAAATGAAAAGCTGGAATAACCCTAAACATTCCATAACGTGTAATGGATATGAATCAGTTATGGAATATCCATATGGTAGAACACCACAGTTATTTTTAAAATGATGCTGTAAACGAACATTTAATGACAGGCTAAGTTAGCAAATAAAATACAGTTTACATATAAAGGCGTAGAATCCCAAATTGAATTTTAAACACATATGATGTATTGAAAATATGTCAGAATGTTAACTAACCACACAGTTGGGGCTGGGCAGTTTTAATTTTCCTCCTTGTGCTGTTCTGTATTTCCAGCTGCTTTACACTGCACTACCCTAATAATCAGACCATAGATGTTATTAAAACAAGGCTCTTTAAGGGCTCAATTGAAGAATTCAAAGACAAGACATTTTCCCCTGTATTTACAGATATGACAAAAACTATCTACATCAGAAGTTTTGCTTTTTTCCATACTCCTCTAGAAACCGAGAGTCCACTCTTAATGAGAGCGAACATCAAATGGATTCATCTGCTTCTGCTTTGCCTTTTCTTGGTATATCATCAGGAGAAAGGGGACTGCCAACCATACGGAAGGCTTTTTGCTTCTTAATGGATTTACTGACAATTACACTCTCATCATAGGGGAGAATGATGCTTTGATCTCTGCCTTAGAACCTAGAGGGCTCCACTGTTGAGTCTTTTTTTAACAACTGGGCAGTCTATTTTGGGTATGAAATTGTTACATACAAGTGGTAATAGTGTACCATAATGATAACACCCTTGACAGTTAATATGTATGAGTACCTACTATGTGCTCTATGTCAGTCATGTCATTTCATTCTTACAAGAAGCCTCCTAAGGTGGGTGTGATTGTGTCCCCACCTGACATACAGGAAACTGAGGCCAGAGTCATAGGGACGGTGGTAGCACTGGAATCCAGACATAGGTGGCCTGACTGCTGGGGCCCCACTACGCGCTAAAGGGCCATGCCAGAGGCTAAGGGCCACACCCAGGCAGTCCTACAGTGTGTGCTATTTAGCTGGCACCAAGCCCTCACTGCTCTGCACTTTCAGTTTCATTAGTGATGTGCAAACTAAAAGATAAGCCGAGAAAGTTTCCCAGCAGCAGTGCCGGCTTTCAGTCAGTTTCACCGTGTCCCACTCGAAGTTAAGGCCTGGTTGTCAGGAGCTGTCACGAGCCGCTGGCTACAGCCAAGGGAGCAGAAGCAAGAAAAGGTGAAGAGCACCAAGTAGGCTTTGAAACAAGCGAGTTTGAAACAAGACTGACCCAGGTGGTTGTAGTTTTTAGTACTTGCTGTGTATACATACATGAAACTCTACAGCTGACTTACAGGAATACAGCAAAACCTGCCAATGGGTGGGCTTGGGGGCAGCTGAAACCAGCAGGGGGAGGCTCTACCTTCAGCCATTATCTGAGTCCTACCTGAAACCTTGACAACTTCATTTACTTTTCTTGTTTTTTGGTGTTTTTATTAAAAATTAAATCCCTCAAAAAGACCCCCAAAGCAGTTAATGATGCCAGGTCACCTCTAGAAGTCTGTGCAGAGAGAAAATTCCAAACTGAGGCCAGAGAGAACATTCTTAGGACTGACTCCTTCCTACTCGCACGGGGAGGTGGCCTTAGACTGTCGGGGATCAGGACCCAGTTAGAACTCATTCTGGGGATGCCAACTGTTTCTGAGCTTTTTTCTTTTGTCTTGGGGGAAGGGACACAAATGTGGGAGCCAAAGAATAGGAATTTTCTCAAGAAACTCACTCAAAAATTTTCAGAAGGCTTCTAAGAAAACATGAAATTCTGGGCCCAAGCCTTTCCTACCTGGGTGTTTAAACAGAACGTGAATGACCAGACTTGTCCCCTCACCTCAGCTATCTCATCAGCTGGCCCCAACCCTTGACTCAGTGGCCTGCTGTAAGCCTAGGGCTGTCCCAGGGTAGCCAATCCCCTTCAGCCATCAACTTGAAATTATTCTACCCTAATTTAAGGCTCATTTACCCGCAATCACATGTACACTGAAGTCAAGCTGGTGACTCTAAAACCAGTTGACTAGTCCAGCTCTGAATCACCCTTGTAAAAACTACAGGCTAAGTCACACTTCCAGCAAAAAGTAAATGCCATAAATAACTATCTCCCTAATAGGCAGGGGTCTCTGGACTGCTTTTAAATCTATGCCTCTTTTGGTGATATTTTCACACAACCAACACATATGTGCCTCTCAAGAGGAACTATAACTTTTAGAATGCTCCAATTTCAGTATTTACACAGCATTTACCCTATACTGGGCATCGGGGCTTTGATGGTGAAAGGGATGACCTCTATTCCCATCTTCAAGTTTACTGAAATGGGCAAAGGGGATAAAGAGGCACAAAATATTAATCATAATGGAAATCAGTCAGGGGGATTTTATTTTTATTTTTAGTAGCATGGAGAATATAGTCAATAGTTCCATGACATCTTTCTATGTTGACAGTAGCTACACTAGTTGGGGTGAGCATTTAATAATGTATATAACCATTGAATCACTATGTTATACACTTGAAACCAATATAATATTGCATTATCAACTAACTTTAATAAAGGAAAAAGAAGTTCTTGTTGTTAAGGAGATGGACATTAAATAATCAAGCGAATATTAGAGATAACATATTTTTCTTCTAAAGAAGAAAAAGGAGAGGGCATAAGAAAGCATATAAAAGGGGAATATAACTTAGATTATAGGGAACAAGTCAGGTCTCTCTTGGAAGTGACATTTACACCAAGATCCAAAACATGATCAATTAACCCAATGAAGACTGGGTCAGGGGCACAGTGTATTCACAGGCTCTGAGCTTCATAGTTCCAGAACTGCCAGGTGGAGAAGGGACAGTGGGGAGCCTGGAGGAGTAGGTAATGGCTGCAAGAGATGGATGACCTGGGCTGTGAAGTCCATCAGAGGGTCTTGGAACTTATCTTAAATGCAGTGAGAAAGCAGCCCTGTCCATGACAGCTCTCTGGGGTGATGGGAATGTTCTGTTCTTTACCACCCAACATGGCAGCACCTAGCCACACATGGTCATTATACATTTGAAATATGTCTCATACAACTGAAGAGCTGTATTTTTTTATTTTATTTAACTAACTTTAATTGACATGGCTGCAAGTGACTAGAGGCTACCACATTGGACAGTACAGCACCAGCAGATTTTACTCTGGGGATCCTACTGGCTGCAGACAAGGTGGAGAGAAATGGGCCAATGGAAAACAAATTCAGGAGGCAGAACCAAGAAGAGTTGCTAATGGACTTCACGGGAACAAAGGGCAGGAAAAATAATTCCAAAGCTTTTAGTCAAACTTTAATATACTACAGAAATAGGAGTTTTGGTTTCAAATATCAATGCACATAATATTGAATTTTATTTTACACATGCGCACACACACACACACACACACACACACACACAGCATAGCCCCTGAGAATAACCATTCTGATGCTGCTGACCAAATCGGGTAAAATATATGCTCCCTGAAGCACACAATTCTGGGAAATACATAAAAGCCAGAGAATGGATCCCT